TGCCCCCCAAACTACCTCTATGGACCATTAGCTGTGCCCTTCACCAAATTTAAAGAAGAAGAGCATAGAAAAAAATAGCTGCAACCTAAACATAGGAGGTGGGGGATCTACCAATGCAAAAACACTCAATATCCATGGTCCTGGGCTATGCCCCTCACTATAAAGGCATTTAACCCCTCCCTCCCCCCCCTTTATGGAGTGTGAGGATCCATGTGAAATAAAACAACAATCCTCGAATGCACAGACTGCACCCCAAAAATATTGAATGGGGTGGGGGTACCACGTTATAGAGCTGTCAATATCTTACCTACAGACTGGTGGGCAATGTGTGCGCTATACATAATGCGGAGGGCGGGGTGAGGATGGGCTGAGGAAGCACAGGGGAGATGGGGGGGGGTATGGTGGTATGGTATGGGGGGCAGGCAGGTAGGGGGCCAGATATGGTATGGTATGGGGGGGGCAGGTAGGGGCCAGGTATGGTATGGGGCAGGCAGGTAGGGGCCAGATGGGTACAGGGGGGCAGGTAGGGGCCAGGTATGGTATGGGGGCAGGCAGGTAGGGGCCAGGTATGGTATGGGGGGCAGGTAGGGGCCATGGTATGGGGGGCATGGGTATGGTGGGGGGGCAGGTATAGAGGGGGGGGCTGGTATGGTATGTGATGGTATGGGGGAGCAGGTATAGAGGGGGGGCTGGTATGGGGGTCACATTGAGTGCAGGGAGATTTAAAGATCCATGTATAGTGTCCCGGTCCGGCCAGCAGGGGGGGGATGCTGTAAGGCTGTATAGAGGGTGTCCCGGTCCGGCCCGCTGTGGAGACGGTACACCGGGTGGCGCTCTCTCTCTCTCTCGCAGTGTCCGCACTCTGTGTCTGTGTCTGTCTCTCTCGCTGTGTCTCCGCACTCTGTGTCTCTGTGTTACAGCCGCAGTGTCCGCACTCGCTGTCCGGGCCACCCGCTCTGTCTGCCAGGCTGTGGATGGCCCTCTGCGGCCGGTTATAAGCCTGCCAGCCCGGTGCCTGGGGCGGGGGCGTGGCCAGTGTGAGACTGGGACGAACTAGCAGCGGAGGGGGCGTGGCCCGAGCTAGGGGCGCCCACAACAGCACTTTACAGGGGCGGGGCCTGTACCACGGGGGGCGGGACCTGTACCACGGGGGGCGGGACCTGTACCACAGGGGGCGGGGCCTGGGGCGGAAGCAGGCGGAAACGCATGGTGGAGTTGGATGTCAACAAACACAGTCGGTGGGTGATGGACAGGTCTGTGTCTGTCTGTCTGGGTGGGTGATGGACAGGTCTGTGTCTGTCTGGGTGATGGACAGGTCTCTGTCTGTCTGGGTGATGGGCAGGCCTCTGTCTGTCTGGGTGATGGACAGGTCTGTGTCTGTCTGTCTGGGTGATGGACAGGTCTGTGTCTGTCTGTCTGGGTGATGGACAGGTCTGTGTCTGTCTGTCTGGGTGATGGGCAGGCCTGTGTCTGTCTGTCTGGGTGATGGACAGGTCTGTGTCTGTCTGTCTGGGTGATGGACAGGTCTGTGTCTGTCTGTCTGTCTGGGGATCCCCTGCAGGGTTACTGTGTCCTAATTACTAACACTACACACAGTTTACACAGGTCCTGCCTGGGAGACAGTACACACATCTCACTGTCAGCTCTCCATGACTCCATACTGGGGACAGCCTGTTATATGGTGCCTTAGGGCAATCAGCTCCTGTACAGTGACCTGGCCTCTACATAGGGGCCCTGTATTGGATGAAGGACCCTGTATTCAATGAGTATCCCCCCTGAGAGTATGGTGCTGGGCAGCTCTTTAATGATTTTTTATTTTTATCAATAAAAATAAAAATAATTGTATTTATTCCAGTGTGTCTGGTGTTGCCATCATTAGTATCTGCTTCAAACAGCACTCAGTGTCTGCAAGTAAATAAAAACTAGGAAATATTTAATAAGCCAACAGATTGTCCAACAACTCTTATACAGACCTGTGAAGTTTTTTTTTTTGTAGCCCAAGTGACTTTTTCAGAAGTCAAGAAAAAACCCCAGAAGGCTCCCAGACAGTATTCACATCCACCATTGTCTCAGCTCTTGCTACTCTTTGATTTTTCATTGTCCTACTCAAATAAATGACCCTCCCCCTCTTAGTCCTCACTCCTAACCATGTTAATTCTCCCTATTGCCTTGTACAAATGCAGCCCCACCCTGTGATTCCCCCTACTCTCTCTCCCATTTATTTTTAGTTTTTCCATTAGTATTTACTCCTTGCCCCCTCCTTTACATCAGCTTGTACTGTAAACGTCAGTTCCCTGTTCCTCCTTACAAATTAGTCTCTTTGGTGTCCCTTAATTGAGAGCCCTCTGTAAATCTGCCATTTTACCCTCCTTTTATGATGTTCTACTTTCCATTTAGGGTTTTCCCTACTTGATCGCTACCCTTTTCTGTTGATATTAGTGAAAGCTGAGTTCAATTACTTCTTGAAATGATTGTACACAAAGTAAGGGGTCTTTCTACCATAACAACAACTTAAAGTGAAGTTTTTTTGGGAGGTAGGAATTCCTGGGCGCCATTTTACTTTAAGGTGTTAAACTGTTTTCCAATGGTTTAGCTCCAAAATTGGGTCCTCAAGTGCCCACTGCCTCCCCTTTACTTTGCTCAGTCACTATACAGTATAGAACAAGAATTGTTGCCTGTGATAGGCGGATTATTGGCCACCCTTCACGAGCAACTGTACTTGCAATGGGCAGCCAGTCAAAGGCTGAGAAAGACCACTAACTCTGCCTGTGGCTATATCTCCTTATGCGTTAGACAGCTGATCAGAGGAGAAGGGAAGCATTATGGATGGGTGCTTGAGGACCATAAGTATATGACAGACCATAGAGACTCCTCCTCCAAAAAACTTATTTGAAATGAAGTTGATTAGAGATTGGAGAATGACCCTCTAGTGCAACATGTACACCAGCTGCCAGGATTTATGGCTATCCACTTGGCAGAGTGCATAAAAGGCACCAGTGTCAGAACTGGCAATAGCTAATAACACAAACTAGTAGAATTAATATCTTAATGTATCAAAGTCTAGTCTGACCCGAGATTTGAAGAAGTACCTGCTAGGTGCATTGGATACAATCCCTGTATATATTATGTATCACCCCTTTGCACATGTTTAGTTGCAACCTTGCATGGCAGTATAGGAACAATTCGTGACTGGTTGGGCAACCACAGTGGGTTTTCCATGCTGCCCTAGTACAAAGTTGACACCCATGCTATTTAACTGTCAGTTTTGTGACTTTACCCTTAATGTGACACTGTGGGTACTATAATAATTTTATCTCATTGACCTGGTTACAGCAGTGGTTCCCAAACCAGTCCTCAAGGCACGCCCACCTGTGCAGGATTTAGGAATTACCCAATCGTGTCTAAGGTGGTATTAAAAAAAACACCTTGGACACAACTTGGTAATCCCTAAATCCTGGATTGGTAGAAGTGCCTAGGGACTGGTTTGGGAAGCACTGTGTTACAGTACTGCAGTCCACTGGCACTATAATTCTTTTCAGTGTTAAACTATTTTCACACAGTTTAAAACTGAATGATAGTCCCTGGCCCCCCACTGTTTAGCCCCCACTGGAGATACAGTTTAGGCAGTGATTACAGTCTTCCTTAGCCATATCAACTCATAGTAACAGTGGTTTGATAGGCTGAAAACATGCATTTGACACTGTCAGCCTATCACCACCACCAGTTTCTCCTCTGGCTAATTCTTCCTCCTTACTATGAGCAGTACAGAAGGAGTGGGCTACTGGGTACTCTCTGTTAGCATTACAATGGTTTTACACTGAATGTAAAGATGTTGCTAGTAGTCTCCAGAAACTATACTTACCTTAATGAGATGATTAGATTACAGTGCTTACATTGTCCCTTAATTAGTCATCAGTTTGTCAGACTCAAGTTGAAATATCCAATATACACTACACTTTGGTTTATCAGCTTTTAGCTTCAGATTATAACTTTTACCCCCAGACATTAAACAATGATTGTTATGAAATCAAGGTGGGATGAGACATTGACAGAGACGGAGGTATAAATAAAAAACAAGCGAAGGAGCAATATGCAAAATACATCACTACTTTATATAGAAAAGTATCAAAATGAATAATAATGCTCTCCCTGTGTAACCTTCAGAGGTATTATACTGATAAATCCACACCAACTGTAAAGGAATAGGTGAGCCAGGGATATATGCCAAGCAGTCCTAAATATATTCCCTAATGTTGTAGAACGGTAATTGGAACAGGACGAGTTTTACATACAGAAACTAAAAATGGGGGGCTGCTCAAAACAGATTACATAGGGGTATTCACTAACTGTCCAAAATTAAGTTTTCATTTTAGCTTTTAGTTCAATCCAAATTTCCCATTTCCCTACAAGTCACACTCATAACTGCTTGTTTAATCACGACTTCCGTTGCCGTTTTTGGGAAATTTTCACTGGTTTTCCTGTAAGAACAGAGAAAAAAATGTTAAAAAACAACAGCAAGCCCAAATAGGAACTGTTTTGCCAGATCTGAGACAGTCCTCACGTCAACTGATGCATGATTTAGCTCACATTGAACTAACAGTATTTTAAATAATTATTACATCTAACACACTCCTTTCTCAATTACAAGCTCAATCAATTTCATACTTTGGGTTTTCTAAGTACCATTTTATTTGTTTATTTTTTTTACCTTTTGAATTATATATCTCTTAATGATGTTTCTATTCAATTTGCATTTTTCTCTTTAGCAAAAAAGGTGTTTGTGTTTATACGTTTTTAGGCCATGGCATTTTTGCAAGTTTTTGGAAGAGTCCGATCAATTGTAATAGGAATGGTGCATATGAAAGCATTACCAGGTAAGCAATTCAAATTAATTTAAAAAACAAAGCGTTTTGCCTACTTAATCTTTATTTTCTTTCATATAATTTAGGCACCCCAGGCTGCAGATTACCAGTGGCACAGATTGTAGAAGAAGCTTGTCAAGAAGCTGAAATCTATAAGAATGCTGGAGTTGTAAGGGTTACTTTGCATCAAAAATCACAAACGTGTGTGTTTCTCGGTTGCCCATCTATATTGCACATTTCACACTTGTATGCATACCTTTTAAATCCCACTGTCCCCCATTCACTACCCATGTATCCTTCATTTCTGGGAAATCTAAATATTTGTTGTGCATGAAAAGATCTGAATTCTACATGAATACTAATATAATAGTAATGTGCTGGATTCACTTCGTGTCTCTGTGACCAATACAATTTAGTCTACTGTGTGTACATCTTAGAGTAGAGCAATCAGACTCACAGTAAAGAGCATTGTATAGGCATGTATCACAGAGTTCCACAATATTAAAACTCACAGTTGCGTGTGGTGTGTGTGCAGTATGACAGAGCTTCTCAATTATTACATTTATTGTAATGTGCAATGTACCACAGAGCTCCTCTGCAATACAATCACAATAGGATACATTCAAATTGTAGCAAATGTACTTTTAAACGATGTTATATAATCGCCTAGCAATTTATCCTGTAATCTAATCCCCTCTTCATCACTAAACACTGAACTGCGCTGAAACAAAAGCCAAAGTGCAATGACATCCCAAAAGGGCTGCAACTATTCATGAATTGGATAGTTTTTCCAAAGCAGCACTTTTTGGCTGCATTTTGCAATTTTTTAGTACAGTTCATATACCCCGTTGTGTCCGTCTTTAATTTTGTGTTTTTTTGTGAAAGATATGCCCATGTACTGTGGCAATAGCATACACTGGTATCAATGTAAATCCATAATGTCAAGCACATATTCCCAGAATGCAGTGTGTTTAACCTCTCCCCTAGCATTCTGGGATTGAGCCATATGCACTATGAGAGTCTATGGAGGTACATACAGCCTGCTTCACAGACCAGTTACAACGTTCGGGACAGTTCTACATTTAATCTGTATGTTTCTTTCAAATTTTCCAAATAAAATGCGTAGATTAAACTGTATTACCTATCTAAAAGCACCCTTGTCATCCAAACTTAAATGGTGCATTGCATAATATCTGTAATTATTAAATATTATCCGTTTATCAGGTACGGTGTACTTGCCCTGCCAGGAGAATAATTAGTTAGCTGATGCCTGTAGAAGGTAAAATTTATTAGGCGTTATTACAAAACTGCCACTTGTCAGTTATCAAATAATTTCCATAGATTTATTTTGACATGTTGAAGTTGATTAATTAGGGTACACTTTTAAAGGCTGGTTTATAGCTAGCAATGCACTAAAATGGCTCAATAAAATTATAGATTTTTGTGGTTGCTTTTGACATCAAAAGTGCGATCGGGAAAAAAACGGAATAATTGCTTTAAATTATTGCAGTTTATGCTAGTAATATTATTACTTCTTTTGGCAGGATGGACTAATAGTGGAGAATATGCATGATATACCATACACCCTGCATATCGGACCAGAGATCACAGCAGTAATGACCAAAGTATGTAGTGCTGTGAGACAGACATGTCCTCGTCTCCCTCTTGGGGTTCAGATCCTTTCTTGTGGCAACAAACAGGCCCTTGCAGTGGCTCTCGCAGCAGGTAATGTATCCATGGCTTCTTTGGAATGTTATGGAATTGGCTTGTATTTAGGCTGCAAGTTTACATAATTCAACAAGGCCATAGATTTGGCAGAGCTCTTAAAGGGACACTCCACACCCCTAAAGCACTATAGCTTGCAGAAAAACTTTATGTGTAAACAGTTTGTCCTATTTTTTTTTTTTTTTGCAAAAACTGCAGATTTCAATAGAAATTTACACTTTTATGACTTAACCTAGTTACACCTCTTGGCTTTCAATCAGACAACTGGTCCTGTTACTTCCTGGTTCGGTTAGCTCGGTGAAGCTCAGTGGAACTCAGGCAGGTGCTCAGAGCACCTGCTTTGCAAAGACTTCTCATTGAGCTGCATCGGGAGGTCTGTGATTGGGAACAGAAAATGTGGGCGGGGTTAGAAAGGGAGGGCTTGCAAAGGCAGAAGACAAGAGAACTGCAGCTTTTGCAAGATGGTTTTAGATCTAACCCTAATAAAATGCACAATTCAATGCATGTATGTTTTCATTGGTGGTATATCTGCTAAACAGTGATTTTTATTTATTTTGCATTTGGGCAGTGGAGTGTCCCTTTAATTGCTATAGTGGAATTACTATGGAAATCCTATGACATGCAGTTTTTATAAAAAATAAATAAATAATGCCAAAACTCATATTTTTTTAGGATGATTCCATATAATATTGAACGGGGCATTTTGAAGCGCTTCCAAAATTTATTTTCTAGCTATATATGGCGTGATAAACCACCCAGAATAGCGACGGAGATCCTATGTAGAAGCTACCGGAAAGGAGGTATAGCATTTCCCGATGTGATTAAGATGTATGAGGCAAACAGGGCCTCTCAACTTATGATATGGTTAAATTTGGATCAAAATATATCTAAATCTTGGATTAAAATTGAACAGAAATCAGAACCAGAGCAAAAATTATACATCTTAGGATGGCTAGGACTCCTGAATCTAGGGGCTTTGGATATGGAACAATTTCCTAATAAAATTATAGGAGATATGGTGGATTTTGCAAAATATTTGAATACTAAGTTGAAACTTAAAGGAAAATTATTGTTTAATACACCCATAGAAATACTTCAATATGCTATGTCAGATATAAATATTAAAACTTGGATACATTCTGGCATTAAAATAATTGGAAATCTATATGAGGGATATAAATTGGCGACATTTACACAACTACAATCTAAATACAAGTTTCTATCTAGGGAAATATTTCAATACCTAAGGATCAAGAATTTCCTTTTAACTAAAATACTGATTAAAGATCATTATCTTGAACCTTATATTATATGTAGTCAAAAAAAGGGAGGAATCTCTAGATTTAATAAATTGTTTGATACATTAGATAATGTTATCGATGTGCCTCCATTTGGTAAGTGGGAGAGGGACGTGGGGAAATCCCTCCCACTTAAAGACTGGACAAATGCTACAGAGTTAGTAAAACAAAGTATACATAATATATCCCTACTCGAAACGCACTTAAAGATCATCTATAGGTGGTATATGGTCCCGGTTAGACTTCATAAAATATCTCCATCTTATTCAAAAGAATGTTGGAGATGCAGAAGAGAAAAGGGTACTATGCTACATATATGGTGGGCCTGTACGGGCCTGAATAACATTAAAATCCAAATGTTAGATTTAATGAAAAGTATCTTTAGGGAGGTAGTAATTAGCCCTGAAATGTTTCTGTTCAATATGGACTATAAAACACTTGATAAACAACAAAAATATATTATGACACACATATTCCTGGCAATAAAAATTAATATCGCCAGAGCATGGAAATCTCCTAACCCACCACTTTGGCATGAAATAATGGAGCAAATAAGGTTTCAATATAAGATGGGATCTCTAACCAAGGATTTGAAAGAGCTTTGGTTACCTTGGACTTCCAAATTTCCTATATAACAACGAGCTGTTAGTCTTTGGCCCATCCCTTATCGAGTCTCATATATAAATGTGTTTTTTTTTTTTTGGTATGTTTGTTTTGTTGTTGTGAACTATATATAATGTTAATGCTACAATGCTATGGATGATCAAATAAATATATACAATTGTAGTAATATTAAGGCTGTAATATTGATACTTGTACAATCAGTATAATAATCGTTGATTTGATATGTATAAAAGGAAAGAAAAATATTGGTAAATAAAATAAATATTTAAATAAATAAATAAATAAATAAAAATCCTAAATTGAAGAGCTACATACTAACCTCCCCTGATTTACATAATGTAAGATTAGTGGATTCATTATGTGCAGCTACAGCTTGTATAATATTGAACTGCGCTGGTTCAGTTTAGTATAATACAATACTCATTGTTTATTTCCGCATCACTCCTATTAAACTAGGGGTGCCCAAAAGGTAGATCCCCAGATGCTGTAGAACTATAACTCCCATGATGCATTGCATGCCTTTAGAATGACAAAGCATTATGGAAGATGTAGTTTTAAAACATCTGGTGGTCTACCTTTTGGGCACCCATGTTTTAATGCATGTTGAGGGTGGCTATTTTGTTCCAGCTGTGTGTGTGGATATTTGGAGTATTCTCCAGATTTCAGGGATCCCCCTTACAGTTGTCCCAATCATAGGATATTATTCATCACTGAATTGTAATGAGTTTGAAAATAAATTGTAAACCTGCTGACTGAGAAGTCAAGGCACGCTGATGGAGATTTATCAATGTTAAAAAAGGTCCCTAACATGCTAAAAGTGATGCGATCACCATGGAAGCCATTAGAACCAGCATGCCTATTCCATTGGTGATCTCTCCCCTTTTATATTTTTGCACCACTTTTTAGAATAGAACACTTGGTAAATCTCCCCCACTGTATTATGTGTCCTGTTTCTCAGACCAAGTTTTCTTGGGTTCTATGTATAAAGTGTAGTTCTGATACAACATTCTAAAATTGAAGCAATGAGCAGTCCATTGGTTTCCATGGTAACAGCTTCACTGTTAGGACCTTCTCCAGAATATCTCTGTCAACATAACCCTCAATATATCCATATTCCATATGTTATGTTATGGACTTATATTCATCTAGAATATGTGTTTTTATTAATCATTTCAGGGTTTTTCACTGTGAGAATTCAAAGTGACGTCAACATAGCTGGACTATCTGATTCAGTTATGCTTCCATTTTGGATACTTTTGCCTTAATTTTAAAATTCCCTTTGCATTGTCACTTTTGTGAATAACCCTGTATATGATTTATAATCTCTGTATTGTAGAGGTGAACTGATTCCATTATCGTCACCTCATTTTGTCAGCCTTCCAATTTAAAATAAAATCTGCATGCATAGGGTTGTGTTTTTTGTCTTTGAATGACTAATTCAATCAATAGGGTTTACTGGGTGGACCAGTTTTTCTAGTCTTCGTGGAATCCTTGTGTTTTATGTAAAAAGAAGGCAGGTCAACAGACAGCTGTCTATTTAGTAGCTACATAACTTACAGTCTGGTGCAAGACAAACAATGTATGGCTCGTGCTGGCACAATTGAATGTAAATGTGTTAATCAAGGGTTGGGAGGTTTTGATAAATATATATTTTTTGACACCAACATAAACCTCATAGTCCCATAGAGAACAGTTAAAGCAGGGGTGCCCAAAAGGTAGATCCCCAGATGTTGTAGAACTACAACTCCCATGATGCTTTGAATGCCTTTAGAATCTAAAAGCATCATGGAAGCTGTAGTTTAATACATCTGGTGATCTACCTTTTGGGCACCCCTGAGTTAAAGTAATGTTTTAGACCAGGGCTACCCAACAGGTAGATCCCCAGATGTTGTAAAACTACAACTACTATGATGCTTTGTCATTCTAAATGCATTCTAAAGGCATGCAAAACATCATGGGAGTTGTAGTTCTACAACATCTGGGGATCTACCTTGGGCAGCCCTGCTGTAAACATAGAAACATAGAATGTGACGGCAGATAAGAACCATTCGGCCCATCAAATCTGCTCAATTTTCTAAATTCTGTCATTAGTCCCTGGCCTTATCTTAAGTCTACGATAGCCTTATGCCTATCCCACGCATACTTAAACTTCCTCACTGTGTTAACCTTTACCACTTCAGCTGGAAGGCTATTCCATGCTTCCACTATCCTCTCAGTAAAGTAATACTTCCTGAAATTATTTTTAAACCTTTGCCCCTCTAATTTAAGACTATGTCCTCTTGTTGAGGTAGTTTTTCTTCTTTTAAATATAGTCTCCACCTTTACTGTTTTGATTCCTTTTAGTTTAGACACCCAGACGACTTCATCTCAATGAAGATGCCATGTGCCCCCTTTTTAAGCTTGCAGTTGAAAACGTTGCCTTTCTGCATGGTTAGCCTGCCTCTAGTGGCTGTCAACATGACAGCCACTGGAGGCACTTCCAATGGTCACGAGAACATCTATTTGGTGCTGCGTTTTGCTGAACATGTGCACTAGCCTCCCAATGCTTTTCCTTTGGGAAAGCATTGGATTGGCTGAGATCATTGATCTTAATGATCTCAGCCAAAGAGGAGGAGCTTGAGCGGGCAGAGCGGCGAGGGGAAAAAAAGGGAAGCAACGTTTAAACCTGGCATTGCTGGCCTGTTAACATACATGGTGACTAGGCACTGTAGCGTTATGAATACTTATTGTGTTCCTTTATTAGTGGCACATCATCCTCTTGTGATGCCTCACATGTTTGCAGCTCAAATTTATAGCACTTCGTTGTCTATCTGAAATCTCCTTTTTGCCTTCTACTCTTTACCTTTACAGACCTATTAGCGAACCCCTCTCAATAACTACACCCCTTCAGGCATCCTGTCCTTCTCAGCACCTTTTCCCCCTAAACTCCTTTCCTGCTTTTCTCTGTATGGCTTTTGTCATTCTTAATCCCTTCAGTGGTATCTCCTAACAATTTATGATAAACTGTAATCTAATTTCCCCTTAACACCTAGCACCAAAACAGAGGGGTCTCACTCGGAAAGATCCAATGCATTGAAATGTGCTGAATATAATGCGTTTACTCTCTATACAGGAAATTAAAGAACATGATCTATCTTGGTAACAATTCCACCTTAGCTGATCTGATCTAAACGTGGTTATTTCACTGCCAGTTTAGTGGATATACCTGTGATCCTATTTGCTAACCAAGACAATAAAGACTAATCACGTTAGTTATAACAGCTACCCATCTTCAGAAGTCTTTTCCCCTATTCTGCTTAGCCCAGATTGGCACGTAATGGACATCATGTTGTGCGCTAGTCATACTGTTCCATGGCCCTATGTAGAATTCAGATGTTGCAAGAGTTAAACCAGATAATTATCCTTTGTGGCTCCTTTAGTATCCTATTCATGACCTATTCATTGATTTGACTCTTGCATTATATATACATAATGTATACTGAGAAGGAGTACTTGCATGTAAAAGTCTCATTTTCTCTATTCTTTCTTCCACTTTTTCTCTCTCCCTCCATTCCCTTCACTTTATATTTTTCTATTCAGCCCCATGCTGTTAAATTAACTATTCTTGCCTCCAAGGCTTACATTCGTATCTATTCTCCTTCAGTTGCCCCAATGTCTTTCTAACCACCCTCCCAGTGTTTAGAACTTTTCAGTGCAGTGCCTCATCACAATCCTACCTGATGCTACCCTGTTTTTCAAGCGCTTCTTACATTTGAAACCCCCTATATCCCATCCTAACCCAATGTCTTAATCACTATTTCAGTGTCTTGACTTCCTATGAACATCTCACTCAGTTCTTCCCCCAATCTCTCCGAAAAGGTGACCAGCACTCCATTTATCATGGTTAAAATACTGTAAAATAATTGTGTCAGCGGTAGTATACTATCATTAATTAAATTGTGATATATAGAAAAACTTTATTGCAGTGAAAATAGCACCCAGTTGAGTTAATTTACCTAATTAAATTACCCAATTATCTGAAACTAATGAGGTCAACAGTTGAATAGCAACTCACACATACACGCATATCTAAATTTCTGTATCTCTGTCCCCTGCTGTGTGCACATACAAAGTGACTGAAAAAGACAAGTCTCATAGAATTATCCTGATAAAAATAGAATATTTTATTTAACTACGTTTTTGGGGGGATACACAGTTAGTGACACTTACAACTGAGGGTTTTTAAGGAGTTCCTCGTCTCCTTCAGTTTTTCCCCCCCCACAATTTTGATTCTTTAGATAACCCAATTGCAGTGTGTGTGTATAAAATTTGCCAGCTAAAAACGTTAGGAGCCATTTCAATTTTTTTTTATTTTTTTTTTTTAAAGGGGCACTATAGTCACCAAAACCACTACAGCTTAATGTAGTGGTTCTGGTGCCTATAGCCTGTCCCTGTAGTCTTTTCAAGGTAAACGCTGCATTTTCAGAGAAAAGGCAGTGCTTACATTGCTGACACTAGAGAGTCCTGTGTCAGTGCTCTTCATGGATGCGCTGAATGTTACCCATACAGAACATGCGCAATATCGTCCCAATGCTTTCCTGTGGGAAAGCATTGGCTTAGCGGAGATCAAAAAGTTTGATGAACTCGGCAATGGAGATGGGTCAAGCCACGGCAAAACCTGCACAGCGTGGGAAAAAAAGGGTGAGTAAAAACACCAATCGTTATCGCAGGTACCTAAACAGACACACACTCTCTGACAGACATGCACACACACACTGACAGGGGCATACACACACACACACACACACACACACACTGACAGGAGCATACACACACACACACACACACACTGACAGAGGCATAGGCATACACACACTGACAGAGGCATAGGCACACACACACTGACTGACAGAGGCATAGGCACACACATTGACAGAGGCATAGGCACACACACACTGACAGGGGCATACACACACACACACACTGGAAGGGTCATACACACACACTGACAGGGGCATACACACAATGACAGAGGCATAGACACACACACTGACAGAGGCATAGGCGCACACACTGACAGACACACACACACACACACACACTGACAGGGGCATACACCCACACACATATTGACATACACACATACACTTTCTCGAACACAAATTTACATTTTATTTTTTTATTTTTTTATCCACCTAGCCTCCCTACCTTTTGGGAGTGCTAAGTGGACGTTCCTTGGGGTCTAGTGGGGCTGCTCTCTCTTCCTGTGTGAGAGGGAGCAGTAATCAACCATGCAGCTCCTCTCTGCTCCCTGTGATGCCGGGGCCGGAATTACATCATATTCCGGCTCCCGGCATCATTAAACAGCGCGAGGGAGCAGAGAGGAGCTGCTGGAAGATCACTGCTCCCTCACACGCTGCCCCAGCCGACCACCTGGATGCTCCACTGAGCCGGCCGCCTACATGAGGCTCAGGGCAGCCGGCTGCAATGCTCACTCAGCCGGCCGCCTCCATGAAGCCGGGGGCTCCCGCGGGTGGACGGCCTGCTCCATTATTTGCCCAGCCAGGTGTTTGGATAAAAAGTTGACAAATCACAGGCGCCTGGGATTTGTCGAGCCCTGATATATAGTATATAACCTGGAATAATTTTAAAATTTCACTAGTTTTAACTGCTAAACTATATCTGTCTGCTTCCACCTAAACTATATCTGTCTGCTTCCACCTAATGATCACACACAGGTTATTCACCAAAGTGAGAATTGTCAGGAATTTATAGCAAATTTTCAGTTTAACACCAAAATAACCAAACTTTGGGCACAGCCAACTTGGAGAATATTTTGTTTTCCTATTTTGGTCTTATATTTGAAATTCACTTGAAATTTCCAACTATTCTCAGTGTGGAAAACAATTTGCGTTGGCAGGTGGTATTTTTCAGGGGATCTGACCCCCCTAGTGACAATGAAATACGTTATCGTCTGTGATTTTTGTTTGTTTGCTGAATTCTATTCTGATTTGTTGTCTGTGCTTTGGTATAGGTTTAGATTTTATCCGAGCAGAAGGCTTTGTGTTCTCTCATGTTGCGGATGAAGGTATTGTAAATGCCTGCGCTGGGGAGCTGCTGAGGTACCGCAAGCTTATCGGAGCTGATCATATCCAGATCTTTGCCGATATTAAGAAGAAGCACAGGTCAGCTGGTGGTGTTGATTTCTAGAACCCTTCAATAACTAACCATATAGCTTTACTTTTGTCCTTTAACTTTGCCTGTATTGTTTTGAGCATGGAGATGTTACAGTGCAGTTCTGCAGGGTCTTTCAATAACCAGTAGATTCTGCTGGGTATCTGCTATTGCCATATAACTATCACATTTCTTATAAGAGCTTATATAAAAGTATGTTAGTTGATCATTTTCCTATAACCAGTTTTTTTGTCACCTCATACATTAGGAAAGCTACTTTTGTTGGGTTGTAACATTGACTTTTCTTGAAGGCCAATATGAGGTTTATTGTCACCCTAGTCAAAGATCTAGTTTTGTGATTCACTCAATCTTTTCACACTCTCTCATATCAATATTCCTTCTCTTTTTCCCCCCATTCTCTATTCTGCTCTTCTGGTGCCTTTTCACACTATTTATCTTATATTCACAACGACCCCCTCTCACTGTCTTTATTCTCACTATCTTCCAACCCCTCTGTCTTTCTCTTTTCTGTTGCAGTCTCTCTAACAGTATCTTAGTTTAAATAATTGAACATTTCTTCCTGATTGTTACTCCAATTGCGTAATCTTTGACACAGAGAAAGTATGATTCCTGTTAGTCCAAGGTGAGCTCTAACAGATCTCCTTATTTCATGTCAGCAAAGAAAATGCTAAGTGCTTTCTTATAGTCTTGTATGCTGAATGAATCAAGACGCCAGCATGACATAATGCAACAATCTTAGCAGGCGTATTCACTAAAGGGAAAATTCAAGGTGAATTCAAAGTGTATTTCAAATTTAAGGCAAAAGTAGTTGATTTAAGCATAGCTGGCATAGAGAATTTTCCCAGTTTAAAGGGACACTATAAGCACCCAGACTTCAGCTCATTGAAGTGGTCTGGGTGCACTGTCCCAGGTAACTTAACCCTGCAAAGGTAATTATTGCACTTTTAAGAAACTGCAATAATTACCTCTCAGGTTAACTCCACCTCCAGTGCCTGTCTATCAAACAGCCACTAGAGGAACTTCCATACTGTTAGGTGACTTTTAGTTGCCTAACTGATGCTGGACGTCCTCATGCTATGCATGGGGATGTCCAGTGTCCCCAAACCCCTTCAACATGGATGCTGTCCAGGAGGTGGGAGGGTCTGGGAGGGAGGGTCTGCTGGAAATTGGCCGGGATGTGTCAGCTGACCGGAGCTCGCCGCGAACGGTTTGTGGCGAACCGCGGCGAGCCGTTTGCGAACGGTTCGCGACATCACTATTTATCACACATTAAAATTAGGTTATGAGCCACCGATAATAGGGTTGCGCTTACAAATTATCCCAGGATCTATTAAACACAAAATAATAGTGAATTAAAATATAAATATACAATTCTAAAACTCCAACTCCAGTTTTTTACAGCTTGGTTATTGTATCCTCCATTTTGCCATTCTTCTACAGTTTGGAGTGTAGCAATTAACCCCTCATTTTTTTGCAAGTGCAATATTACTTTTTTTATTTTACTCATGAGATTACTATATACCTGTCTGGCTGCTGCCATGATTGTTTGTTTGGTTTTTAATGTGTCTTTGTTAAATATTTTGTTTGTTAACTTTATTCTTCCTTTGTAGTTCCCATTCGTTAACAGCAGATGTTTCCGTGTCTGAGACGGCAAAAGCGGCAGAGTTCTTCTTAGCTGATGGTGTCATATTAACTGGGGTCTCTACTGGAGAAGAGGCGGATCCGAGAGATCTTCAGGGTAATTAAAAGTATATAAATGTCTAAAATAGATTAAATGATGCAAACTTTTTATTTAATTATAAAATGCCAAGTAATAGTGTAAATGTGTGGTATCATGTTGTCAACTCTATTATTTAGTGAACTGTAATTCTTACAAACTTTCTTTTTTACTCCAGATTTCCATTTTCTCCTTCCTCTATGTTGGAACTTATAAATAGTTTTTATGAATTTTGCTAACTTTGTTAAATTCAACATGGTTTTTGGCATCCGTTTTGTATTTGGCTTATATCCTTTACACTGTGTTCCAAAGAAAATGGCGGACACCTTTATGGAAATATTAGACATGCTAACATATGTTGTCTCTTATTTAGTTTGTCTTTGACTGAAAACTGCAAAAGGCTTTTTTTTCTGTTCAACTAAACAGAGAATTCTGGCAAACCAGCATCTAAATGTTCAAGACATAGCCTTTATTAGCTAGTAGAAAGAAATACATTGAATATGGTCATTGCAAATTCAGATGCAGGAAACCCAATTAAGTGAATTAAACTCATAGTAAATAATAAGAACCACCTGGAGAACTTCTTGTCAAATATTCAACGGACCAACCTGACTTATGTTTAAATGCCAAGACAAGGGTATAAATGCAAGCTCTGCCAGAAGGTTTAAAGTAGATAACAAAAATATTATATTATTTGGTAAAAACGATGTAATTTTCTGTGACATTTTAGGCTTTTCTGTGTAAATTAAATTACTAATACTGTTAATTTCACTGTCCTATCCTAGAAGTTCAGCGCTCGGTAAAGATTCCTGTCCTTATTGGATCTGGAGTGACATTGGACAATGTGGAGAAGTACATAGAGGCCAATGCCTTAATAGTCGGTTCACACTTTAAAAAAGATGGTTATTGGAAAAATGATGTTGTTTCGGATAAAGTGATATCATTCATGGATCAAGCCCGTAAACTAAGATTGTAATCTGTAGTCCAATAAATCTGAATATCTGACAGAATCTGAACATTCTCACGCTAAGGGGTAATTGTACCAAATTAATATATTTTTTGATAATTCATGGGCATCCTATGAAGTTTCTGCACAATGAACTCACTAACTATGAGATACAAATACAGGGTTTGTAATCATTAGTCAAGCACACAGAATGATATGAAATTATCGCACAGAAGGGGAAGAGTCCAAGTTAGATCATGAAGAATCGTTTTCTGGGACTTGTCGCAAAGAAATACTTGAATACTCCCGTAAAACTCCTAAAAATAAAAACTTTGTACGTTGACATTAACAATAAAATTAAGGATTTGAGTTGATTCACCTCAGGTGCTAAAGAATTGGTTTTGATAATGTTTTATCACTTTTTGGAAATGTTGCACACATCTCAGATTATCGTTACGTACCAGATTATATGTGAATAGGAATTCAGGAAGCAAAATTAATTTAATGGAGGTTACAGTATCTAGTCACTGGTGATCACAGAATTCACTGTATTCATGATTTCATACTCTAAAGTAATTTGTCACACGTGATCACTTTCCCTGAGGTATTTTGATGGAACATTGAGCGGACATGTTAGAACAGGCGCAAGGTAGGGTCTCAGCTTTTGTAGAACTACAATTACCATAATGCTTTGTCAGTCTGAGAACAGCCAAGGATCCACCATTTTGTCCACCCCTGTGCTACAGGTAGACATGGATGAACATGGTTTTGCTCTATTGAAGCAAATGTGGCCACTCTATGGTAATTTGGTGATTTGTAACAATGTCCCTTTTAGACTGGCACTGTGTTTATTTGCATCTTTAAAAGTTGACAGTGCTCTGTCAGAACACTAGTTGGAACGAGTGCTGACTCCCACATACTGTGGTTTGTGCAATACTTGTTTCATGTCTACGGGTTGGCCCAGATCATTATGCTTATTAAACACAAAGATGGAGATTTATTAAAGTGTTGCAGAAAAATTGACATCTTACTTGTGATACGTTTCTGGTTTGAGATATCTCTCCGATAGTCTTTTTCACTATTTATTACTTTTGTGAATTTGTACGAGCATGCTTACTGTACTTGCCTTGTACTCCGGTGTTCATCCCATATTAGAGTACTTTAACCGCGCTCTGTGCATGGGCTACCCTGAGTGGAGCTGCTTGGCTGGCTGCCAGCCTGTTATGGATTCACTCACATATAATAGAGCCTAGTGTGACGGATCATTTCATTTCCGGTTATATGCCTTTAAGGTGGCACATCACCTAAATAGTGACTCTGGTATTTGTATCTCCTAGAAACAGAGAACTGTACAAGATCTAGTGCATTATCCAGATGCAAGATTTTAAGTAAGGCACTAAATGCTGAGCTCACCTTATATTATTATTATATATCATATTTTGTACACATAAAGGGTGTTGTAATACTATTTAATACTATATTATTCTATTATTTGCATATATCGGCACAAGCCTATTAAAAAACCCTACTAAAGTTAGGGTACGTAATAACAAAAAGCTCTCCACTTTTATACCCTGTTTGATTGTAATCTTTGGGTTTGATATAGAGGAGGAAAATTCACACAATTATTGAAGCTGCTATTTAGATATTTACACAGTTTTGTAAGCACTATAAACACAACTTTAATATATATTTTTTCTTTGATATGAATTTAGCCCAGGCAGACACATACCATCTTTTGGATGGATGTGTTCCTTTTAATCGGGCAGGTACATAACCTACAGACCTGCCTTACCACTGCACACTTTTTTGCTGTAGAAAGCAAGGCAGAATATGCGCACCGGAATTCTTAGTGAAAAATAATTGTGGAAAGATAAAAAAGTTTTCACACTGTCTCCACCAAGTCTCATTGTTGTCTGTATGTAGATCTGAATGCTTAACATACGAGAAGATAGACGGTTTGAAAGTTATGGAAACCTCAAAATGTAATTACTATAAACTGCCCCCCAGCTCCCCTTTTACTAAACTTTTCTTTTGATTATAGTAAATTATGGAATTCCTTTAGGATACATCATTTTACTAATGAGGTTGTTTGTCTGCATCTCAGTACAATATGCATAATTTAGTAAGATTTTCTATGGACCTGATCAGCATGTATTCACCTGCAGTTTTCACTCTATGCAAATGTACATTTTCATAATGGCTTCAGGCTTTTCACCTTGTCCAGCACATTCCGTCCAACACCCCCTGGAGACAAGACACATTCTAATGGGAATCCGATCATCATCTTTTTTTTTTATTATATAACTTGGAGGAATATGTAGTGTGCTACTATAACAAAAAAAGTGATGGTAGCCATCATTCTCTTGTATTAATATTATTATTATTTGTAAAGCGCCAATACACTCTGCAGCGCTGTACAATGGGTGGACTAACAGGCACGTATTTGTAACCAGACAACTTGGACACAAAGGGACAGAGGGGGTGAGGACCCTGCTCAATGAGCTTACATGCTTGAGGGAGTGGGGTATAGTGACACAAAAGGTAAGGATAGGGTAGAAAAGTAGGTTGCTAGGATAGTTTTTACTAAGGAGGGACTACAAATCCTATTATTCATTCAAGCAGCATTTGGCTGTGCATAGACTTTCTGAGGATGATGTGCATGGTAATTTAATAACAGCAGTTCTGAAATTAAATATTTAATAAACTTCAGAGGGGACTGTATATTCTAATGGAAGCATAAGGTACAGGAACAGCATAATCCAGACACATAAGCATATCAGATTCAGTAGGAATGTTCCAATTCGGGACCATTGCCTCTCCCATATATATGGAAGAATTTTACATCTCTCAGGGCATGCCCAAGTAGGCCATAGCGTACAGATGTGGATATCTGTGGGCATCCTCAATAAAAAAAATTAAATATATATATATATATATATATATCTATCACAAGCACTGCACTTAATTTTATTGGTTATTGAGCAAAAAGTCTCTGGATGCTCCATATGATTGATCAGTTTTGCACAACCATTATATTATTCCAACATTAGACAATAATGAGAGACAATAAACTTTGTTTTCAAACTAGGTAATGGACTAAATACATGTGCATCACTTTAATTTTTGTTTAAAGGACCACAGCAGATCTTCAGCTTTTGCATACTTTTTGTCCCTATATACACCCAAAGAAAACATACTTAATTAGAGAAAACAAATATATATTTTTTTATTTTTATATCTACTTAATTCTTAAAAAAAAAAGAAAAAATGTAATGGTGTGTTCCTTTAAACCGAGTCAATGATCCAAACTTAAAAGTTGTAAGTCACTCTAACAAATACGAATCTTCAGGTGACGAACCAGCCCCTCCACACAATTGGGATCTCATTTAGCATTATCCTTTGTCTGCTGTTATATTATTGTAATCAATATATTGAAAAAAAAACTAATTATAAAGGATGAATAGACCAGGAAAATACAAATGGGGGTAAACTTAGTAAAGGGTAATTCTAGCTTAACATTTTAAAAGTGAAGCAATAAGCAGAATCATTATATTGGTTTCCATGGTGATTGCTTATCTGTTAGTGCAACTTTGCTCCAGAATTGCTCCTCATAGTTAATGTTTGCATCTGTAATCACATAACATGTACTGGGCACAGAAAGGGGAGAAGTGATAGAAATTGCATTCCATAGAATCTTGAAGGTAGATACTATAAAACATGTAAACGTCCCCATTGACCTAAAACCTTCTTAGACCTAAACGACCCTTAACCCTTAGTCCCCCTAAATGTACAGCATGGTGTACATTACTGTCCTAAAAATTGGTAAAGCACCCTGTACCCCTCTGGACCGTTCATGCTTATAAATGGTACTAATGATACTGTGCTATTTTCCGTGTGGGCTGGTGGGTTTCACAACATACTTTCATAATTGATTGCAAGATAAAAAATGCACAAAAAAGACCAAAAAGCACCCTCAGTTACTTTCGTGGTTTCTCTACATGCACTGTTTAGGGGGTCTGCCTGCTAATATCGCGAGGAAACTCTTATCGCAGGGGTATACATGGGAGTTGCTGAGATCAGTTAAATTCACCACTTCGATTGAGTGAGAGGAGTGAGCACTTGGCCCAAGATCAGCATGCGCAGTGCAGTTGCGTACAACATTTAAACTAAATGAGTACAATCACCCTGGAACTCCCGTTCTGGGCTGCCTTACTGGCAGATCAATTTGCAAATCACTGCAGTTCAGCCTAGAGTTTCCTCAGCTGAGCGTATACACCATTACCTTAGTCATTGTGCAAAGTTGTGATGGTGCTTACAGGGCCCCTTTAAGCATAAGTAGCTGGTCACATGATCTTTTATTACCGAAAAGTCCAGTATGATAGCTTTAAATTATAACTTACCATCCTGCAGACATCTGCTCACGGCATGAAATCCTATACACTGCGCTTCTACTGAACAAAACAGTTAGTGCTGCAATAAAATGACATATTTCAGAATAGAACAAGTTTCATTACAGATGCAATTTGCAATAACACTCCACATGGATTAATGTTCCCGTAATAACAACCTGTAATATAATTCTGATTACACAAATTGTGGTGTTACCTAGAATTCTCTGATTATTGAAAGAAGGCTATTACCGGGAGACAATTATATAATCACTAAGATGTTGCTTATTTAAAAGCACAGCCACTAGTTTTAACTGTCTGACATTGGCGACTTTCTCCATGTTGAAATAATAATGCAGAGCAATTTTCTCACAGGAGGAAATTCATTTTAAAATAGCCATAAAATAACGCAAACACGTATTGAAAAATACTTAATAGTCTTCGGAACTTGATGATTATTCCACAAAATTATTATCTACTACCCGTAACTGTAAATGTATAAATATGTCACCTTCACGGGTACTTTGAAAAAAAGACTGCTGAAATTAGGGTAATAAGGATTCCTGGTGATTTGGGTTCTTTATTTTATTTTTTATTTTTTACATAATTCAAGAAGTGATAACAACCTAATATTGCATATGGTGCTGTTATGGGTGTTAGATGCACAGTATGATAAGGGAAGCAAAATTTTAAGGAATGCATCAATTAATATATATTTAGCATGTTACATTTTAAGTGTTTGATTTGATGAACTGGGAATTGGTGAGTTTTGCAATTTATCAGACAAAATAGCAGAATTTGACAAATTCTCTAGGTTGGCTAGTTTGGTTTTAAAGGAACACTATAGATTTGTGAATGGAGAGCTAGTGATAGGCTGAGAGAGTCAGCTGATGCTTTCAGGCTAACCGTGGCACTCAATGCAAGGTGTCCTCATGGAAGCCTCAGCTATTCTCTTTAACCTCGTAAGGTAAAACTGCGTCCAGGACTTCTTGGCACCATAACAACTTAATTGAGATAAAGTCATGGTACCCTGAGGGTTCCGTTAAAAGAACATTATATTGAATAAACACGTGGAAGAAAAACATGTATTGCCAACACTCGAGTGACCTGATCACTGTATTGATGCCCCCTCTGAGTGCAAGAAAAGGTGAGATTTGCTTACATTTTCTCCATCGCAGAGTTGCTCTCTCCATTGCCGGTCCCGCTTCATTGGCTGAGATTATCAATCTTGACAACCTCAGTCAATCCAATGTTTTTGGGAGACAAGTGCGCATGCACAGAAAAAGGCTGCGGCATTTCTCCTTATTGATATGCATTGAATCAATACCATTACCTTAGTCATTGTGCAAAGTTGTGATGGTTCTTACAGGGCCCCTTTAAGCATAAGTGGCAGATCACATGATCTTTTATTACCGAAAAGTCCATGTGACCTCTACTGGCTATCTGAGTGACAGCCCCTAGAGGTAATACTGAGCAACAATGTAAACACTGCTAAGCCTGCAGGGACATACTGTAGACACCAGAACCACTACATTAAACAGTAGTAGTTCTGGTGCCTAAAGTGTTCCTCTAGTGTACGACAAAAGATATAATATTGGAAAAAACATCTCCAGTTATATGATTTTTATTTCTATGTATAGCATAGATCTAAGCAACAAAATTTTACTTTTGTCATTTATTATTTTATTTCCCGAGATGGTATTCTTTTAACTGCACGCCTATAAATCACTACTATTTTTATATATAGCTACTATTGCACTCATATATTTTCTTTGAGAAATAACTTTTGTTCAGGGTAATGTCTAGGATTGCCCTAGATGAAAACATTCAAAGGGGAAGAAACTGCACAATTATATTTAACTACACACAAACTAAGGAGCGCAATACACATGTTCACAACTTCACATTGTACTGGAGAAAAATAATATAGTGATATAACACTATGAAAAACCTGCATCACACTTAGATCTTGAATCTGACATAAGGGAAAGTAATATTGGAGTTCAGGGGGTGATTTGTTGAATAGTGCTCTGTTATTACACATGGAGGGGTTGTTGTGGCTGTAGTGGGAATTGCAGGCCTGTGCTCTGTATTACATACAGGTTATTAAAGGTACTGTGCTCCTTATCCCTGGGATTGCTGGGTCTGTGCTCTGTATTACATACAGGTAATAATAAGTACTGTGCTCCTTATCCCTGGGATTACTGGGGCTGTGATGGGGATTGCTGGGTCTGTGCTCTGTATTACATACAGGTAATAATAAGTACTGTGCTCCTTATCCTGGGGATTGCTGGGTCTGTGCTCTGTATTATATACAGGTGATTATAGGTACTGTGCTCCTTATCCCAGGGATTGCTGGGTCTGTGCTCTGTATTATATACAGGTGATTATAGGTACTGTGCTCCTTATCCCAGGGATTACTGGGGCTGTAATGGGGATTGCTGGGTCTGTGGCCTGTATTAAATACAGGTAATAATAGGTACTGTGCTCCTTATCCCTGGGATTACTGAGGCTGTAATGGGGATTGCTGGGTCTGTGGTCTGTATTACATACAGGTAATAATAGGTACTGTGCTCCTTATCCCTGGAATTACTGAGACTGTAATGGGGATTGCGGGTCTGTGCTCTGTATTACATACAGGTAATAATAGGTACTGTGCTCCTTATCCCTGGAATTACTGAGACTGTAATGGGGATTGCTGGGTCTGTGCTCTGTATTACATGCAGGTAATAATAGGTACTGTGCTCCTTATCCCGGGGATTACTCGGACTTTGCCCTGCTATTACAAAGTAAGAGCCTGACTGAGGGTGTACTCTATTATATACAGTGGGAGGATTGGGACACTGCTTAAGTAAATGGAATTATTGGGACTGTGATTATTTAATATACAGTAAAGAGAGTATTGGGAAATATTAGTGTTGCTTTCACTTTTATTAAATAGGGATTATTTCTGACATTCTTTAATAAATGGGAGTTCTTGATGCTGCCCTCCGCTATATGATACTAGGAGGGGGGTCTTGATAGAACTAACTTGATGATCAACCAATCCAATGCTTTCCTATAAGCCATTGCACATGTGTGGCAAAACTCTGTGGTGCACCAATCAACATCTCATCCTAGAGAAACATTGAATTATGGCATCTCTATGGGGAGCGTCCAGCACCTCCATGCAGAGCGTGGAGACACTATGTAGGTGCTGCACACCTGACCCCGAAAACTAGGATCTGGTGACCTCTAGTGGCCATCTGAGTGACTTCCACTACAGGTGTTCCTAGGCAGAAATGTAAACTGAAAAGGCTGCATTTACAGTGCTCAGCCTTCAGGGACAAGCCATAGATGCCAGAAGCACCACATTAAATTGTAGAGGTTCTGGTGACTACATTATCCCTCTTATAAAATGTCTTTCTCTCACCTGTCAATCAACTCTTAGGCATAGACTCCTGTGCTGAAGAACCGAGTTACAGGGAGAGTGGGGACACAGGGGCAGGTGCATTCCCCCACCACTGCAACAAAAATGCAACTTCACATGTTTCTCCTAACCTCCCTTTTGTGTTTCTTATCCCCTCTTTCATTGTCTTACCTATTTTTGTGTGTCTTACAACCCTTTTGTGTGTCTTTTCCCCTTTTCTAGCTCTTCTGTATGTCTCTTTCCACCCAATCCTTTTTGGGTGTCCTTCTCTTGTCTCTTTTTCCCCTTTCCCAGCCCTTCTGTTCGTCTCATTCTCCACTTCCCCAGCCACTCTGTGTCTCTTGATCGTTTTCCTCACCATTCTGTGTTTCCTGTTCCTATTTCTGTGTCTCCTTCTCGCCTTAAGCACCTTTGTGTGTCACCCCCACCCAGAGGTGTATTTACCACGAGGCTGACAAGGCACTTTCTGGGGGGTGGCAAAAAAGCCACCCCACAATCACTCTGGCAAATGCCTTGCCAGCCTCTTGTCCTGGGGGGCCCAGGAGCTGTCAGCAGCGGCACTTGGTGGGCGGCGATGGAGCACTTATCATCCTGCTCAGCTCCTTTGCGCACACACCGCAGTGATACCTGAGCCGGAATATGACACTGCTCCGGCATCACTACGCGGCGCGCGAGGGAGCTGACCAGGAAGATCAGTGCTCCCTCGCTGACTGCATTGACGAGAGAGAGAGAGAGAGAGAGAGAGAGAGAAAAAAAAAAAAAGAAAACACCTAGGTTGTAGTATGTGTGTTTAAGGTGGATAGGTGCTTTAGTGTGATTTCAGATGGAATTGGGGCCGTTGGGTGAATTTTGGGGGATAGGTTCTATAGTGCGTGTAATGTGTTTGGTGGGTAATGGACTGTTTTACCTCTTGCATATATCCCATTATTTCAGATGGACAAAGAGGGATGCATATATTTTCAGAAAAATTTAGGTGACTTTCTAATAACAATTTATGGAACTAAAATGTAAAATAGACCAACAACAATGTATCTTATTTACACAGACTGAATTCCAAACATGTTTATTTTAGTTTAAAGACACATTACTGGGAGTATTATTGCTTAGCCCAACCAACAATATGGAGGTCCTAGAAAAGAAGGACCTCGGGATAGAAGAGAGGTTCAGAGAAATTTGGGCCCAAAAATAGGGACTGCCCCACTACACAGGGACACTTGGGAGGTATGCTGTTAGGGGGAGAAGATGGCCATCCATGCCAGAGTTACTGTGCGGGCGGCTGACGTCAACCACGAAATCAGCGGCGAGAGGGTTACATAGCGGTCTGAGCGGAACCACGCTGCCCACTCGTGATTGGCTGACTCCTCGCCCCGCCCTTTGCAGAGGAAGTGACGTTGCCTGCTTTGACAACACGGCATGCCCCCTTTCTTTCGATACGCCAATGGGACTCGCCCCGCCTGAGGCGGCTCCTCCCCCTGTCATGACCTCGGGCAGCAGCTCGTGGAGGTGCCACCATCCTACCTGTGACAGGTCATCAGTCAGGCTGCAGGTGAGTGCCCTGCGCTGAGCATCACGGGAATTGTAGTCTGTGAAAGGGCCTTCAATGCTGAGTGATCAATACATTGTAACAGGAGGCTCATAGTGAATACACACTGCTGGCTCACCCTCTATGGCAAGGCTCCTGTTACCTGAATCTAATGTCATGTTATTATTTGTACTCTCTCTCTGTCTGTCTGGGTAACAGGCCCCTGGCTACAATTCAGGGCACACAGTGTCAGATAGTTTTGCCCCAGTCTTTCTAGTGTGGTTTCCATACCTCCCAAGTGTCCCTATGTAGGCGGGGCAGTCCCTATTTGGGAACCAAATCCTCCTGTTCCTCTTTACTATTCTAATATCCCTCTTTTCTAGGAGCTCCATATTGTTGGTGTGTATAACAGAGCTCCACAGCAATAATACTCCCAGTAATGTGTCTGATTGTATCACAGAGCTCCACAGCAATAATACTCCCAGTAATGTGTCTGATTGTATCACAGAGCTCCACAGCAATAATACTCCCAGTAATGTGTCTGATTGTATCACAGAGCTCCACAGCAATAATACTCCCAGTAATGTGTCTGTGTGTATAACAGAGCTCCACAGCAATAATACTCCCAGTAATGTGTCTGATTGTATAACAGAGCTCCACAGCAATAATACTCCCAGTAATGTGTCTAAATGTATAACAGACAGCAATAATACTCCCAGTAATGTGTCTGAGTGTATAACAGAGCTCCACAGCAATAATACTCCCAGTAATGTGTCTGAGTGTATAACAGAGCTCCACAGCAATAATACTCCCAGTAATGTGTCTGAGTGTATAACAGAGCTCCACAGCAATAATACTCCCAGTAATGTGTCTGTGTATAACAGAGCTCCACAGCAATAATACTCCCAGTAATGTGTCTGAGTGTATAACAGAGCTCCACAGCAATAATACTCCCAGTAATGTGTCTGAGTGTATAACAGAGCCCCACAGCAATAATACTCCCAGTAATGTGTCTGAGTGTATAACAGAGCTCCACAGTAATAATACTCCCAGTAATGTGTCTGATTGTATCACAGAGCTCCACAGCAATAATACTCCCAGTAATGTGTCTGAGTGTATAACAGAGCTCCACAGCAATAATACTCCCAGTAATGTGTCTGAGTGTATAACAGAGCTCTACAGCAATAATATTCCCAGTAATGTGTCAGAGTGTATAACAGAGCTCCACAGCAATAATACTCCCAGTAATGTGTCTGAGTGTATAACAGAGCTCCACAGCAATAATACTCCCAGTAATGTGTCTGAGTGTATAACAGAGCCCACAGCAATAATACTCCCAGTAATGTGTCTGAGTGTATAACAGAGCTCCACAGCAATAATACTCCCATTAATGTGTCTGAGTGTATAACAGAGCTCCACAGCAATAATACTCCCAGTAATGTGTCGGAGTGTATAACAGAGCTCCACAGCAATAATACTCCCAGTAATGTGTCTGTGTGTATAACAGAGCTCCACAGCAATAATACTCCCAGTAATGTGTCTGATTGTATCACAGAGCTCCACAGCAATAATACTCCCAGTAATGTGTCTGATTGTATCACAGAGCTCCACAGCAATAATACTCCCAGTAATGTCTGAGTTTATAACAGAGCTCCACAGCAATAATACTCCCAGTAATGTGTCTAAATGTATAACAGAGCTCCACAGCAATAATACTCCCAGTAATGTGTCTGTGTGTATAACAGAGCTCCACAGCAATAATACTCCCAGTAATGTGTCTGAGTTTATAACAGAGCTCCACAGCAATAATACTCCCAGTAATGTGTCTGAGTTTATAACAGAGTTCCACAGCAATAATACTCCCAGTAATGTGCCTGAGTGTATAACAGAGCTCCACAGCAATAATACTCCCAGTAATGTCCGATTGTATCACAGAGCTCCACAGCAATAATACTCCCAGTAATGTGTCTGTGTGTATAACAGAGCTCCACAGCAATAATACTCCCAGTAATGTGTCTGATTGTATCACAGAGCTCCACAGCAATAATACTCCCAGTAATGTGTCTGAGTTTATAACAGAGCTCCACAGCGAAAATACTCCCAGTAATGTGTCTGGGTGTATAACAGAGCTCCACGGCAATAATACTCCCAGTAATGTGTCTGAATGTACAACAGAGCTCCACAGCAATAATACTCCCAGTAATGTGTCTGAGTGTATAACCGAGCTCCACAGCAATAATACTCCCTGTAATGTGTCTGAGGGTATAACAGCTCCACAGCAAAAATACTCCCAGTAATGTATCTTTAAACTACGATAAATGTGTTTAGAAATCAGTCTGTGTGAATAAGATACATTGTTCTTCTTCTAAAGTACATTTTAGTTGCATAATGTTTTACTAGTAAATCACCTAAAATGTCTCAGAACAGCCACGCTCCTGGTCACAGCCCACTCATATCCCTCAAATTAAAGTGCCCCCCCTTTTCTCCATTTGGAATGTTGGGAGGTATGTTTTCGGACCGTTAAAGGTGAGAACTCCAAGTGAATTTCAAGGCCCTACTAGCTAAACTGGGAAAGTTTTCTCAGCTATCCATGCTTCAGTTCAGCTAATTTTACCTAAAATCTGAAATTCACTTTGAATTCTCCCTTTTAGTGAATAACCCGTTATATATTAGAATTTGTTGGGAATTTAAAATTTTAGACTACAATAGTCAAACTGGGAGCTGACTTGGAGAATTGATTCTGTTCAGCTATTGTTGCCTTAAATTTGCAATTCACATTGAATTCCTAACAATTCTGATAACCCTGAAAGGGATTTAAAAAAAAAAAAAAGGATTACTCCAACCTTCATTGATTTTGAAGTGGTCATGGTGGTAGGAGGCAGTATATGCAATGCTTCAGCTCTAAACACAGCGCACATACTGAAATATTTGTAATTGTGTGTTGGGTGTTCATTGCACCCCAAGCACACATGGCATTGGCAGCCCACAACTCCAGGCAGGCAATGTCAATTCTGTGTATAAAATACATCTGTTTTCAGCGCACACTGACAACAGATGTAGAAATCTTCACCTTGGAGGCAGAGCACCTGCAATAGGAAGCTAGCTCTCCCCTACCGCCATTCTACGTTAATTAAAAAATGTCAGCATTCAACGTTTTTAGGGTAAGTCACTAAAGTGAGAATTCAAAGTGAATTTTAAATTTGAGTTCAAAATAGCAGAACTGGAAGAGTCTCTCTCAGCTATACTTTCAGTTCAGCTACTTAAAGGGACACTATAGGCACAAACACCACTTCAGCTCTTTGAAGTGGTCTGGGTGAATATTCCCAGGTACCTTAACCCTACAAAGGTAATTATTGCAGTTCTTAATAAACTGCAATAATTATCTTTTGAGGGTAAACTCCACCGCAGTGACTGTCTACCAGACAGCCCCTAGAGGGACTTCCGGGTCATTAGGCGACTTTTGTTTGTCTAACAGATGCTGGATGTCCTCATGCTATGCATGAGGACATCCAGCGTCACCCAAACCACCATAGGAAAGCACTATATTATACCTTCACTGCACAGACACATTAGGTCTCCCCCACCAGCTGGTGTTGGCAGGGGAGATGTGAAGCCTTGAACAGGCACATGGACGCTGGAATCTGGTAAGTGACAAAAGATTTTTATTTATTTATTTATTTATTTTTAACCCCTTCAGCACCACACGGGGTGGGTGGGGGGTGTTATACGGAGGATGCACTATAGGGAGATATAGTGCCAGGAGAACAAAGTTCAGTTTTAGTTTAGCCCTAAATTTGAAGTTAATTTTGAATTCTCACTTTAGTGAAAATCCCTGTAAGTGATTAATCCTGATACTGAATACCTTGAAAAAAACATCTTTAAAGATGCGGGAGGGAGGAAGCGGGAATGACAGCACAGCCTGAAAAAAAAATTATCTCAAATTGTATTCGTTTATTTTTCCTAATTTGTAACGATTAAATTTAAGGCCAGTCCTGCGCCTATTACTTACTTAAAGCTAAAAGCTTTAAACATGTTATGCAGGGGCCTGTAAGTGAAATAGCTGCAGTGGGAAAAATTGCTACAGAAACATATTTATTTTTAAATGTAGACATCCCCTCCATGGTATTTACAAAGGGGCTGTGTGACGTTTTTATGCAGCCATTTTATTACCACACTCTGCCAAGATGACCGTTAATGTTTGTTTTTACCCCCCAAAAATGCAACATTTCACGTCATTATTTTTTTGTTAAACCTAAATGTGATGTAAAATAAAACAACTATATGTGTTTATCTAAATCCCCAAGAATTGAATTTTTCATGGTATTTATGTTTTTTACAGTTTTGAACTTTATTTTTTTTTTCTTTCACTTTGAGCTGGCCCATCATTTGAAATGACTAGAGCTTTAAGGTTAGACATTTATTGAAAAGACAAAAAGTGGGCGGTTAGGGTTGTGTTCCATATTACCTGTTACACCTTTCACTGATGACAGTTGTGAGTATTTGCCTAACCTACCTAGCCTACATCTGAAAACCTTTTCACTCGCATGTAAGATCGCCATCGGAATACAATTACGACAGTTGTATGTGAGAGTTGAAGGAGGGGGATGTTGTGTTAATAAGGATCACGGGGTTACAGTTTAAATAAACAAAGTAAATCTATATATTTATAAAATGAGGAAGGTGATTGGTGCAAAGGAAGGAATGAGGACAGTGACTATACTTAAGCATCAGTCACAATTACTGTGATCGACCTGAGGCACCATCATTGCTGTATAATACAGTGATAAAATATATATATATATATATATATATATATATATTTTTTTTTCTTCTTCAAGGGAATTAGGTGTAATAGGGGCAGTTGCTGAATTAACCTATTCCGCTCTCGTGCCTTTGCAGTTGTAATAAGAGCTCATGGTGCCTACCCCCCCCCTTGTTCACTGTATAGCTCAGAGACCAAGTAGTTAAAATAGTTTTTTAAAGCGTGTTGGGGACACTGGGGGTTGGGCATGGGAGCAGAGTATTTAGTTCTCTCTCACTGTAAAATTGCAGACACTGTTACTTCTGCTATGTTTGCATGTTCATTTCCTGCATGTGACTTCTAAGATCATTTTTTATTTAGGATTTATCAGCGTACGGAATTTTGCTGGCACTATATTAATTATAATAATCAGGACTGTACTTATTTTAGTTGACTTAGCAGGTAGACTGTAACACAGTGTGAATTCTAAATGTTTTGACCTCCGAGGCTTCCTGGAAGCATTTTTCTCTTGAATTCACGTAGACCTGAAACCTGCGGCGGTGAGATATCTATGTAAGGGGCTATGTACATTTTCATAATATAGGTACTAACTAACCGACTCTTTAACATAATACCAATGCAAAGTATTAAAGGGCTTTGTTGCTATAAAGTTGTAACGAAGAACTAGTCTCAATTTGCTCAATGGACCTTGAGATTTTTGGAGATGCAGCTGGATATGGCCGATTCTATTATAGAACCCATGATTGAGTATTTTTTATTTATGCTCACCCCATACTGTCACCCCCAACATGTGTACCTGAACCCCATGCTGGCAGTCCTTTGTCAGGGACTCCTGACTCCATCCTGGCAATTTCTAGGGACATCTGACCTGTTTCAGCATTTACTATTACAATTTCTTTTTTCTTTTTTTTAATTTTAATTCTTTATTTATAGCTTTGTAACCATAAAGTTTAGATATGAATATAACATGAAAAGTCACAATATTATGGTAGAGCTGCACGTGCCCCTATCATTGTTAGATTTGTCCGAGAGACGTACACTTGTTACATTTTCTTTTTATTTTTTTATTTTTGTAAACGCGTATTTTATATATTTGTATATCTGTTATTTAAATTCAGTTTCATTCCCCTTCTCACCCTTCTAAATGTGACTGCTCTGTGTGCCACAAAATAACTCCCATTCAGGAAGATTCTCATTGTTCGGGTTCTGGCAATCTCCTCTGTTTAGGTCGCCGATAGTATCCACAGGTTTCCGGAGAGAGAATGTCATTGGTCAGTACTGAGGATAGTGTTCTATACATGATCTGTCTTATAGCTGTTACCAGTTACGCATTTGTTAAATATATTTTGGGAAACTCAAGAAGTCCTCGAGTTTTGCTTTTTTTTTAATGAAAGTAGGTGATATGATTTTTTTAACATCCAGGTTTCTTTGAACCTTCGTTCCTATTTCTTTCAGTGTCCAGGTTTCTATTCATTATTGCAGTTAGTAGTACCTGCATGTAGAAACTGCTCTATACAAACAGATGTTGTTTTTTTTTTTTTTCCCCCATTGTCTGGTCTGCTTCTAGAACCACACAGGAACTGTCAAGCGACAATTCTAGGGCGCTGACTGTGATGATATCACCATAGCTTAGAGCAGGGGTTCTCAACGTTAGTCCTCAGGACCCCCTACCAGTCCAGGGTTTAGGGATTACCTGGGTGTGTCTAAAGTGTTTAGAAAAAAAAAACACCTTAGAGTCTAAGGTCTTTTTTCCCCTTTTTCTAAACACCCAGGTAATCCCCAAATCCTGGACTGGTAGGGGGTCCTGAGGACAGGGTTGAGAACCCCTGGCTTAGAGGAAGGAGGTAACTTCACTTTACAACTAACATTATTTCCTACATGTGTGGTACAAACCAAATGAAGACTACTTGATTTGAACATTTCTGCATTTTTATTATTAGTGAGCATTTTATTTAGTGTATTCTCTTATTTGCATTTTTTTTGGTCATGTTTACACACTGATCAGCCAAAATATTAAAACCACTGAAGTGGATAAGATTGATTATATCATTACAATGGCACATACCATGGGGTGGGATATATTAGGAAACAAGTGAATAGTCCGTTTTAGAATTTTATGTGTTGAAGCAGAAGAAATGGAAAGTGAAAAAAAAACAGTGACTTTGATAAGGGCCAAATAGTGATGGCTAGAGTCAGAGCATCTCCAAAACAACAAGTTTGTGGGATATTCCCGATAACCAGTGATTAGGCCCTACCAAAAGTGGTGCAAGGAAAGACAACCGGAGAACTGGCATCAGGGTCATGGACGCCCAAGGCTCATTGATGTACGTGCAGAGCAAATGCTAGCCCATATGATCTGATCACACATAATAGCTACTGTAGGTCAAATTGCTGAAATGCTTAATGCTGGTTATGACAGAAAGGTGTCAGAACACACAGTGCATCGCAGTTTACTGCTTATGGGCCTGCGTAGCCGCAGACAGGTCAGAGTGCCGATGATGACCCCTGTCACCATCTAAAGCATTTTCCATAAGGATTTGAACATCCAGCCAGAACTGGACCATATAGAAATGGAAGAAAGTTGCCTGACTGTGCGTTGTTTACTTGGGGAAGATCTGGCCGCAGGATGCACCATGTGTAGAAGGCAGATCAGCGGTGGCAGTGTTATGCTCGGGGCAATTTTTTGGCTTGGAAACTGGCTTCCTTGCATTCATGTGTATATTACATTGACACATACCACCTTCCTAAAGATTGCTGCCGACAACATTAACCCTTTCATGGCAAGGGTATTCCCTGATGGCAGTGGCCTCCTTCAGCAGAATAATGCACCCAGCCACACTGCATGTTCAGAGGTCTTGTGGAGTCCGTGCCTCGCTGAATCAGAGCTTTGGCAACACGAGGTGGACCTAGACGATATTAAGCAGTTGGTTGTGACTAATCCGTGTATATCCTTCAAACCTTTAAAAAAAAAGAAAAACTATTATTTTACTATAAGCTTCATATATGTGTCTTTCTGTAGTCTGAAAAGTAATATTTATAGGGAGACCATAGGAACGTCATCACTATGAAGTTATGGTGGCAGGAGATGCTTGGGGGCTGTCTTACCTTGAGGGGTTAAACCTTTAAACAACTGTAACCCCAAGTGTTAGAAGAAGATGCTTGGTCGCCTTGTCCAGCAACTTTCTTTGTTGGTCAGAGACTTTGATTATGAATCTTTTGTTAGACCGAGAGCGTCAGCTGATACGTACAGGCTATCACTACCTCCCATTCATAAAAATGTACATATTGGCTGTGCCCAGTCCAAGGCTTTCTATGACCAACAAAGGAAGTTGCATTGTATTTGGTTAAACAGTTTGTAAATGGTTCTACCTATTCAGGTATCTGTGATCTCCTGGTACTATAACAACTTCATTGAGATGAAGTTGTTATAGTGCCTAGAGTGGTCTTTTTATTGATAGAAATCCACACAACACACCCTGGGTCAGTGCCTCCATCTTTGCTCCATGTCAGTCATTGTTGGAAGCTCTGCCCTTCATTGTAAGTGAACAATGTTCTCGTTTTTCTCTCACAATAATAACATACGTGCCCTCGCAGTGCCAGGACCACACTGACTTATCACGCTCAATATTTCTAGTTATTTTTGCATTTCCATAAAAGTGAAAGTTCTCTTTTAACTCTCTGAATGCAAATCTGCGATATCCCCCTCCGACTAATAAATATTTCAGATTTTATGTACACAAAATGCTAATTATCATTGATATCGTTTTCATTTCTCCTTATAGTTCTAAAGTACATCTGATACTCCGTGCAAGTGAAGTGAGAAGAGCTGGCAATTTAATATTTCACCCAGAAAAAAAATACGGTAAATTTCCAATAAACATCTGGCTGGAAATCTGTCTGTTTAACCTCAAACTTCAATGCTTTCTTTTCTTTAACACGCTAGACGTCCTCATGCAAAACTCTTTGAAACTACAGGAAGTGCCTCTAGTGGCTTTCTAGGAGTCTGCCACTAGAGGCAGTCTTAACCCTGTGTTTTACATTGCAGGGCTAAGGAAACCGTGACATTGTACACAGGCCACTTCTGTGAGATTAAGTGGTCTGGTTGCCTATAGTATCCCTTTAACATCTGTGCAGACTCTGATGAAATCACTTCTTCAGGCAGAGAATTCCACAATCTTATTGAACTTACTGTAAAAATACAATTTGCGTTGGACTAAATGTTAGTTTTTTCCAGTCTAAATACGTGACCTCGTGTCCTATGTATAGTCCTGTTTATGAATAAAGATCCAAACAATGGTTTGTACTGGCCCTGAATATATTTGTATAAATCTACATTATCCCCTCTGAGGCGCAGTTTTTCTAACCTTTCTTCATAGGTAAAATGCTCTATTCCTTTTATCAATTTTGTAACCCGCCTCTGTACATATATTTTGTGCCATAATACCCTTTTTTAGAACAAGTGCCCAAAATTGCACAGCATATTAAAGGTGGCCTTACGATTGATTGATTTATAAAGAGGCAAAATTATAATTTCATCCTGAGCATTAATGCCCTTTTTATACATGACAATACCTTACTGGCCTTGGCAACTGTCGATTGGCATTACATATTGTTGCCTAGTTGGTTCTCTTCTCGCGTGTATCAGTAATTCACTACCATTAAGGGTGTACGTTGCTTTTGCATTCTTTACCTATAAATTTTTCCACATTAAATTTCGTCTGCCGTTTGGGTGCCCAGTCCCCCATTCTATCACAATTAAAGTAATATCCTGCTCACATACAGTTTTTTTGTTTTTATTTTCCTTATCACATTTGTATTTTTAACGCTATACTGTTCCTTTCATCAGTCCTATTGGGGTGTCATCACTCTTCTATCAGAGGTTTATAGGATAAGTCATTTATCCCCCATCAGTTCCACTTGGCACTAAACTGAACCAGGCTGTTGGTGCAGCAGTGCCTTTGCAGCCAGAGATTTTTACTGGTAAGAGAGAGATCCTCACTACGCGTGCGTGGTTGCTGTACACAGAATTTGACCTTAAGTGATACAGCATAGGAGGAAATGCCGATTCTGAGCCAGTGTGGCTGACTTCTAGCTGTAGCAATTGTTTCAAATCATTGTAGTGATAAGCCACTCTCAGAATTAACGGTAAGCATGAAAGGTTGTTATGGTGCTTAGAATAATGTCTTAAACTTGCAATCTAAACAACCTTCTCTCAAACACAATAAGATTGATTCACTAAAATGGGAAATGTTGGGCAATGGAGCAAGAATCAGATTTTAGGTTCAGAATAGCTGGACTTAAAAATAATAAAGTTCATGAATTTGATAGTTTTTCTTTCTGTGATAAACAATTATGCCCTAAAAAAAGCATTGTAAACTAGTCTCATTCTTTAACATTTAATATACACTGATCTGTTCAATGACTCAAGTAGGATTACGCTTTTATATGAGCTTTATATTGGTAGCATTGTTTTCTAATCTTTAAAAAAAATTATTTTTTATTGGAATCTCATTTTTATAACTCATATTATGTATAGGAGAGATTGTTTGTTTGTAGATTTCTAATTAGAATGCTGACCTTCATCTTGCTTCCTATTTCTGCTCTGTATATAGCATAGCGTTGCATAAAATTTTCCTTGAAGAAAATGTAACCATATTCGGTTTGCTCCTTACCCTTTTTTTTTTTTATTTCCTCTCCTAACCAGCAAAATGCCGGTACGTTTGGATGATATTTTGGCTCTTTTGTGCCATGTATCTGAACAACAAAAGATGAAGGCTGCGGTGAAGCACTCTGCCAAAGGAGCTCTAGCGGCGGGGGCATGCGCCTTTGTTGGTGGACTGATGGGTGGTCCAGTAGGAATAGCTGCAGGTAATATTGCCTTAGACCTGAAACTCGCTATTGGCCTGTCCAGGTAACAACACAGGAATTTCTGTTCTTCGAGAAATTCGGTGCCCCTTGAAGAGCCTGGTAGTGGCGAAACGTGTGTCGGGACTTCTGTTATGAGTATGACAGTTAGGATATGAGGGATGATATTGGTTTTACTTCGTCTAACCATTCAATTGTTGGTTATTTTGTTTACACAAACTTCTAGCTTCAGTTAAGTGGGAGTGGGGTGCTCTTGAAGGCACAGATTAGGGCTTCTTTCTGTTATATATTTACATACATTTTGTAAAATAAATAGGTTAATCCAGCCTCTAAAGCCTCTAGTGGCTGTCTCATTGACAGCCGCTAGAGGCGTTTGCGTGCTTCTCACTGTGAAAATCACAGTGAGACGACGCAAGTGCTTATGATAGTGGCTGAATGCGCATGCAGCTCCTGCCGCGCATTCAGCAGGAGAGGAGGAGGAGAGCTCCCTGCCCGGCGCTGGAGAAAGAGGTAAGTTTAACCCCTTCCTCTCCCCAGAGCCCGGCGGGAGGGGGACCCAGGCACCCAGACCACTTCAGCTTAATGAGGTGGTCTGGGTGCCTGGTCCATCTAGGGTTAACCCTTTTTTCTATAAACATAGCAGTTTCAGGGAAACTGCTATGTTTATGTTACGGTTAATCCAGCCTCTAGTGGCTGTCTCATTGAGGGCTTTCGTGTTTCTCACGGTGAAAATCACAGTGAGAAGACGCCAGCGTCCATAGGAAAGCATTGTGAATTCAGCCGAAGAGGAGAAGGAGAGCGCCCTGCCCGGTGCTGGAGAAAGAGGTAAGTTTAACCCGTTCTCCATTCACCCTGGCGGGAGGGGGACCCTAAGGGTGGGGGCACCCTCAGGGCACTATAGTGCCAGGAAAACGAGTGTTTTCCTGGCACTCTAGTGGTCCTTTAAGCAGTGAAACGTCAGAGACTTGATCTATACACCAAAACTGCTTCATTAGGATAAAATTAGTTTTTTTGCTAAAAGTATCCCGTTGAGTTGGTGGTACAGTGCTTACCCAAGGCTGTAAAGAGAGATGTTGGATAGATCGGCCAAGATCGCAAAGAAGTAAGAAAACGTTCTCCTTTGTCATCACTAATCTAGAGGACAAGCTTGTAGGTGCACGCAGAAAAAAAAAACAAAACACAAAAGGAGACTACTTGCCTCTGAATACCTCAGGGCAGTGGCGTACATACCAGGGTCGCAGGGGTCGCGGCTGCGACCGGGCCCGGCCGCTCCTGCGACCCGGTATGTACGCCTAGGGCCAGCCTCTTCCCCTTGGGGGGCCCAGGAGCCGACCACCCCAGGGCCCCCCGAGGCTGGCCCTGTTGACCCCAGGTGGCCGGTCAGGCAGGCGGGCGCGCGAGGGAGCACTCAGTGCTTCCTCTTCAGCTCCCTCGCGCACCGCACTGATACCGGAGCCGGAAGATGACGTCATCTTCCGGCGCCGGCATCCCTACGCGGCGCGCGAGGGAGCTGAAGAGGAAGCACTGAGTGCTCCCTCGCGCGCCCGCCTGCCCGACCGGCCAGGAGCCCAGCAGCACCACTGGACCCCAGGGAATAATCCCCCCAGCACTCCAAAAGGTAAGGAGGCTGGGGGGATTATATTAAAAAAAAAACTAGTGTGTGTGTGTGTGTGTGTTAGTGTGAGTGAGTGTTAGAGTGAGTGTTAGAGTGAGTGTTAGAGTGAGTGTTAGAGTGAGTGTTAGAGTGAGTGTTAGAGTGAGTGTTAGTGTGTGTGAGTGTTAGTGTGTGTCTGCTCGTGAGTGTTAGTGTGAGTGTTAGTGTGAGTGAGTGTTAGTGTGTGTGAGTGTTAGAGTGAGTGTTAGTGTGTGTGTGTGTTAGAGTGAGTGTTAGTGTGTCTGCTAGTGAGTGTGAGTGTTAGAGTGAATGTGAGTGTTAGTGTGTGTCTGCTAGTGAGTGTGTTACTGTGTGTCTTACTGAGTGTGTGTGTTAGTGAGTCTGTTTGATGTCTGTTAGTGAGTGTGTGTTTGTCAATGAGAGTGTATGTTTTGTAAGTGTGTATGTATGTCTGTCGCTGACTGTGTCTCTGTCAGTAAGTGTGTATGTAAGTGTGTGTGTGTGTCTTCAGCACTTACCTTTCTCCAGCGCCGGACTCCCTTGGCGCTGAGGATCCCTCAGCCTCTCAGCTCCGAATGCGACCGCGCACGCATTCAAACCGCCCATAGGAAAGCATTACTCAATGCTTTCCTATGGATGTTCAGTGTGCTCCTCTAGCTGCTGTCAGTGAGACAGCCACTAGAGGCTGGATTAACCCTCAGTGAAACATAGCAGTTTCTCTGAAACTGCTATGTTTTCAGCTGCAGGGTTAAAACTAGAGGGACCCGACACCCAGACAACTTCATTGAGCTGATGTGATCTGGGTGTCTGTAGTGGTCCTTTAAAGGACCACTATAGTGCCAGGAAAACATACTCGTTTTCCTGGCACTATAGTGCCCTGAGGGTCCCCCTACCGCCCGGCTCTGGAAAGGGGAAAAGGGGTAAAACTTACCTTTTTCCAGTGCTGGGCGGAGAGCTCTCCTCCTCCGATCCTCCTCTTCTCCTCCCCGTCGGCTGTATGCACACGCGCGGCAAGAGCTTCGCGCGCATTCAGCCGGTCACATAGGAAAGCATTCATAATGCTTTCCTATGGACGCTGGATTGCTCTCACTGTGAAAATTACAGTGAGAAGCACGCAAGCGCCTCTAGCGGCTGTCAATGAGACAGCCGCTAGAGGAAATAGGGGAAGGCTTAACCCATTGAAAAAATGGGTTAACCCTAGCTGGACCTGGCACCCAGACCACTTCATTAAGCTGAAGTGGTCTGGGTGCCTAGAGTGGTCCTTTAAGTGTGTGTGCATCTGCAAGCACTGGCATACATACCGCGGTCGCAGGAGTCGCAGCCCTGTAACCCCTGCGACCAGGTGCCCACCGGGGCCCCATGGGTCATGTGTACGCCACTGCCTCAGGGAGTTGGTGCCATTTCTCAGCCAATCCTGGTTCAAACGTTGTTTTCAATGGGAGCAGTGTAGATTCCACATAAACGCATACAATGCAGGGTTCTTGAAGGGATTGAAGGTACAGCTTACGATTTATAGGAAAGATGCAGCTATTTCTATTTTGTTATTGGTAGCGGACATTGGTGTAGCTTCCAAAAGCAAATGATTCATTGCACCACACTTTATCTGATCCATTCTTTGACCTTCGGTTTATGGACCATTGTTAAAATGTTAGTAATGTGTCCAATGCAACTCTTATATGTACTGTAACCATGTCTGCTGTGGTCCAAAGAGCAAAACCTTTTGCTAGCTTTCGAAGATATATTAACTAGTAAAGTCAAAATGCATTGCCATAAAAAAAAGTTGTTTTTTTTTCTTCCTTTTTTCCACTTATTTTAATGCCCTTTCATTTGCCTTTATTATGTTTTCTTCCTTGACTGGTGGATTGTGGGTAATTTCGATTAGCAAATGAGACTGAAGCTTTCTAAACCTCCACCCATTGCCAAAGATCACACTTCCTGTAATAAGATTTACCCGGATGTGTTTTCTTATTTATTAACTCACCCTAGTTTTATTATACATAAATATCAAAGGGACAAAAAAAACAAAGTATTTCTTTTAAAAAAAAAAACAAAACAAAAAAAACAGTTGGAATTTCATAAACCACAAGGACACCTGCTAAAAATACTTTTGTCTTGAAACTCTCTGTAGCCCCTGTACCATCATTCTCAATTGTCAAACCATGTTGATTGCTTCATCCATGAGTCCAGTGCATATTGTCTGTCAGTATTTGCCCTTGATCCCAGTGCATGGAAGTGGTATCACGAATATTTTGGGTGGTGTGTCCGTATGTCTCTCTGTGATATTGTCAAGCATCAAAGGGGGTTTCTCGGTGGAGAGTTTAACTAAAGAGTATGTGTGAACAGTGAATAGCCAAACTTCGACCATAACCATACGTAGGATTTATTTTTCACCAATCACTCGTTTTGTACTAAACTGTGAAATTCAGTTTTCAATTCTCTGTTTTAATCCATGGAATAGAAAGAAATGTTGATGCTATCATTTTATTCACCATGAATTGTTTGTCATTTACCAAGAACAAGAGCAGCTAGAGTTAGAAATATAGTTGACGAGGGAGAATTTTACAATTAATGTTATTTATTTTTTGTTTGTTTTTGTTGCTATTTTGGGCCTGGAATTTGTCATTCCTAGTAAACAGTTATTGATTGATCCTGGACGGCCAATTCTTTACATTTAGGCTGGTTTTAGCCTGAGTTTTGCAATTCAGAATCCCATTCTCCACAATTCACTGTTTTTAGTGTTTACTAAATCAACTCTGTAGAATACTTTTCTTTTTTTTTCAGCGTCGCTACATTGTCCTACAGTTTAATTACCTTGTCATTTCTGGACAACTAGCTTAGGCCTCTATTTAATATTGCTAAATAAGCTTTCTACATGATGTCATATTTCATGCGTAAACTTTTAATCATTTAATATCTAAAGTAAAAAAAAATTGTAATTTGATTATTTTTTTTTAGGATGTTAAAAAAAAAAAAAAAAAAAACTTTAGCAGTTTATCCATTTGAAAAGCTTATAAAACGTATGAAATCGAGGACTATGTGGATGAATCCCACTGTTCTATATATAAAAAAAAAAAAATTGAGTTTGTACTCCAGCTGCTGTCATTGAGATTGGTTTATAAAATACTGATGTGCATTTTCATTTAACACTCTGGGAAATAATATATTTATTAGTGTTGAGCAGGTTCTTGTATCTTCAAAGTCTTTTTATTTTTTGCCACAGGACACCATCACACATCTTGATTATAGAGCAAAGGAAACTAAATTCTTTATTATGTCACAAGTTGTGCTCCCTGGAATTTCCTGTGTGTCTTGTGATTACATAACCTTTAGACTGCATCTGATCTCATTTTTATCTTCTATGGGGTGTATGCACTTAACAGGGAGTTGTGGGCCAATTTGCACAGTTTTTACCTCTTTCTGTAGACCGCCAATAGAGCTGGAGTTAATCCTGAAAAGTAATTATTGCAGTTTGTTAAAACATTTTTAAAAATTATCTTTGCAGGGTTGTGGGACCTGGGACACTGCACCCAGACCACTTCAACGAGCTGAAGTGGTCTCGGTGCCTATAGTGTCCCGCAATATGCCAAGGTGGGTATTCTCTGCTTTGGTTGAGTGAAGGACTGTTGTCAGTTTCATGCATCTTAATGGCAGCTGGAGTTCATGGGTGCGTTCTTGCTTAAAAAAAAAAAACAAAAAAAACCACCACTAAAACATTTAACCCTTTAAAGTTAATCTGTAACTAGTCTCCAAGTCTGTTTACAACTTTCAAATATATAAATAATTGTAATTCATATATTTAGCATATATAAATATTCTGCTGTGCTGTACAATTGGCAAACACTAAACTCTAACAAAACACAATTGACATGCAGGAACAGTAGGTAAAGATGCCCTGCCCAAACGAGCACACAGCCCCCCCCCCCACCCCAAGAAAGTTTACTACATGTGTATAAAATATATAGAGATGTCCCATAATAACAATCATGCCTCTATGTAATTTAGAATTTCTCTTTTTACCGTTCTAGGTGGCGCTGTGGGTGGTTTAGTAGGTGCCTGGATGACCAGCGGGCAGTTCCAGCCCATACCTCAGATTCTAATGGAGCTCCCGCCTGTAAAGCAGCAAGACCTCTGTGATCGTGTTTTTGCAATAATTCGAAATCTGGACTGGACTGATGCCACACAACTGATCATGTTAGTCAGTGGCAATGCCGCTTTGCAACAGAAGGTGGCAGCATTGCTCATAAACTACGTGACTCAGGAGCTGCGAGCCGAAATTCAGTATGGGGATTAGAATTTTTCACAACTCTTTATTTTCAGCACCAACCCCCTACTGTTTGCTGACAGATCTGTGCCGGGTCAACAAGACTTGCTCTTGGAAACTATATTAGAATTTTGTGACGTACCTCAGGAAATCATGAACGTGCTTCATATACCTGTAGAGATGACATTTAGTGTTGGCACAGTTGTGGGTTTAATTAATGACTTTAAATTATAGAGAATTAACTGACAGAACTGGACTATTGAGAAATACAACTCATGTCTGTAGCATTGCATCCTTTGTAATATTCCTTGCAGTATATGGGGATTGTGGAAGGAGATTCTCATGTACAACTGATGGCTCATCTTTGCATCCCAGTTACATATAAATTACATTACCCACAATGCACTGCAGGCCTTAATTATCATGGGAAATGCAGTTTTCTAAAACATCTTGGGTGCTACAGTATAGCTGTTGGTCCTCCATAATTAACCAATATTATTAAACCAAATAGTGCTCGTAATAACTTCTGCTACACTATGTTCCTCCAGCAGGCACAGGGTTAAAGCACAATCACCAAATCTGACAAATTAGGAATAGAACATGCTTTGAAAACATTGCAGATGGCCAAACCGTTAACAGTTAAAGACTGGTTGTTGTGTTTTTTTTTTTTTTTTTTCTTCCATGTGACTACTGTAACTGTGAAAATACAGAGATGTTAGTACCTGCACTATTCTAACCTTGAGAACAAGTGAGCTTACATCTTTCAGAGCTAAACTCTTTCATTCTAAGCACACCCTTCCTGTTATCGGTCAGTTGCTTTCTGGTCCTTATAAACAATGTGGCAATCACACAATACATAGCCTACTTTATTTTACAATGGCTATGACTGTTTAAAGATACCTGTAGCAAGAAGTATACCATGGGTATATTTTTATATGCTACAGGTTTACTTAAAATATGTGCCATTCTGTACTCCAGCCAGGACACCATGAACACCTGAAATTTGAGGTTTAAATTATCAGCTTGGTACATGGGTTTTGGTTGATGGCAGTACGTGGATTAGGAGACGAGACAGACAGAATTTGTGGTGACAGAATAACTAACCCAATGCTGTGGTTAAGTGCCTTCTTTTTATATTTGTATTACTGCCGTGTTTCGGTGCATTATGCCTTTTTCATTTTGAAAACCTTTTGTAATTTTTAGAAGTGTTGTGTTTGATATTTTATCTCTATCAGAGATATTAACTAAAGTGAGAATTCAAAGTGAATCTAAAATTTAAGGCCAAAGTAGCTGAAATAGAAGCATCACCTACTTAGAGAATGTTTCCAGTGCAGCTATTTGTACATTGAATCTGAAATTCACTTTGAATTCTTACTTTAGGGAATGACCTTCTATATCTTATGATGCTGATAAATGGCATATGTTTGAACTATATTTAGAACAGTTTCTCCTCCACCTGTTAAAGTGCTATCGTGCCTATAATAAAGCCTCTCGTTAGTAGGAGAAGGATGATGATGTGTAGTTTTGGAAGATTGGTTCCTATAACAAGTTTCTAGCGGAGTTTAGATCACAAAATTATTAAAATAGATCCCCAAGTATTCCATATCCAGGCCCAGAACTAGTCTTCTAGACTTTTACATTCAGGGTGAAAATGTACAGTTACGAGAGCAGTGTCGGTAAAACATGAACTTTCAACTTTTGATGGGCGCAGAGTATAGGACAGTGCCATGATGTTGGTAATATTGATGTTTAAGAACTAAATCTTTCTCTTGATGCTCAGACAGGCCCTGAGGCTAGCTAAGAACCATGGGAAATGTAGTTCAGAAACATTGCAATACCAAGGTTAACCATTTCTGCTACATGAATTGTGTGTATTTGTGATTTTATATATAAATAAATATATCCTATTTAGTGAAGTTAAATGATTAGCAGTTGTAATTCACTGGATTTGCTAGAAGTATGCATGCTGTGATTGTTATGTTGATATATATTAAAAAAAAACAACAAACAAACAAAAAAAAACACATGAAGTTGTGTGTTCTGAATGATTTGATAGAATATAAGATGCACCTACAGAATATATAGTTTGTTTTACCATAAGTACAAATCGTAGTACATGTCACCAGTTTTTCGCCTTCCTTTTACTAGCTCCCAGTGACCGTGAAAAACCGAAATAAAACCACACCGGGGGAGCAAAATGTACTTGTTCTGTTTATATAGTCCGACTTGTGCTGCAAAAAAAAGTCTAAAAATATGTTTCTTTCTTCATTCTTCCTCCTGCGTTTCACTCAAACACTGAAGAGCCAAATTGTCCTCCTGTCCCCATGTTTTAAGTCTCTGTGGGCAGTTTTGCCCGATTTTGCATTGGTTTGTTTTTAAAAGAAAAAGTCTCAAAATAAATTCCAAAAAGACACATTTACTATTTAAATTGGTATTTTTAAGTTTAGTTTAAATGATTTACTCCTGTGCACACTGAGGTGTATATTATACGTATGTTGATAGTCCTGTGTTTCTGTAATGTCAGTATGTGTATATTCTATCTGTAAGAATTTTATTTGTGGTTTTATCTCTCCTTAACTTCCTCACTAAAGGACATGCCGTGGGCTCATGGAATGCGGTGGGGATGCAGAAACTGATTAGTTTCTTACTATACAAGTGGTGCAGTGTGCAGATGGGTATATGAGATAAAAACATACTAAGTTCTCCACTCCCCTATCTCTTCAATAATGTTATCATTAATAAGGCCACAGACAAAAATAATTGGATCTGTCTACAATAAGATTGGAAACCAATACAATAGGTTGTATTGCAGTAATCAGATTCTCCTTTTGTAAATAACTGTTAAATTTGCACAACGCTTGTTAATGCCAAGTGTATCTTTTATTATATTCAGCCAAACCTGTTTTTTTCTATTACATGAATAATACATTTTATTTCTGGCAGAAAAAAATAAAAAATGAACAAGTGCAAACAAGAATATGAAGTGTTACAAATTTTATGAAGGACAAAACCCAAAACATTTCCGTAGACAAACCCTTTCTCAATGTACAATTCCCTTAACCCCTTAAAGGACCACTATAGTGCCCTGAGGGTGCCCCCACCCGCCGGGCTCTGGGGAGAGGAAAGGGGTTAAAACTTACCTTTCTCCAGCGCCGGGCGGGGAGCTCTCCTCTCCGCCTCCGATCCTCCTCCTGGGCTGGATGCGCATTCAGCCGGTCTCATAGGAAAGCATTTACAACTTTCCTATGGACGCTTGCGTGTTCTCACTGTGATTTTTACAGTGAGAAGCACGCAAGTGCCTCTAGCGGCTGTCAATGAGACAGCCACTAGAGGATTTGAGGTATGGATTAACCCATTTATAAACATACCAGTTTCTCTGAAACTGCTATGTTTATAAAAAAAAAAAAAAAAAAATGGGTTAACCCTAGCTGGACCTGGCACCCAAACCACTTCATTAAGCGGAAGTGGTCAGGGTGTCTAGAGTGGTCCTTTAAGGACACATGACATGATTCCCTTTTATTCCAGAAGTTTGGTTCTTAAGGGGTTAAATAATACTAATGCACTTACCCACATAAATACAGAACGATGATGTCTTCACACACTGAAATCTGTTCAATCTGAATGTTTTCGGACTTGTGTGTTCCAAGCCTCACCGTGATGTCTTCTGGGGATATTCTGTTTGGTTTACAAAGTGGAAGGAATATTTAATGTTCTGTATTTATGTGGGTAATTGTGCTTGTATCATTTAAGGATATTGTACATAAAAAAAATGGCCATCCACCCGTCATGTTTTTATTTACCTTCATTACATTTGTACCAATATCGTGCACTTGATATTCTTGTTTGTATTTGTAATGTTCCCCCCCCCCCTTATTATATAAATGATACCATTAAAGGGACACTATAGGCACCCAGACCACTTCAGTTCATTGATATGGTGTGGGTGCAGTGTCTCTATTGCACTTAGTGCTACAATGTAAAACATTGCAGTTCCAGAGAAACTGCAATGTAAACATTGCAGCTCTAAGTCTGCCTCCAGTGGCTGTCTCGCAGACAACCACAGGGGGAGCTTCCTGGATCAAAACTGACATTTGGTCCTTTTTCTGACACTCTGCATGAGGACCTCCAGTGTCAGAATTTTCCCCAGCGGAAAGCAATGATTCAATTCTTTCCTATGGGGAGATTTAATGCGTGAGTACGGCCGTGCATGCGCATTAGAACTCGATTGTCTCTTGCCTCCCTCTGCAAAGACCCCTGTCCCCTCAAACATTCACAAAAAAAAAACCTTCCCCCTCAAGATCCTAGCACAAAAAAACAAACAAAACCACAACATTAGCAAACACTCACCCTGCTCCTCCTCCGCCTGCTTACTGATCCAGGCGCCAGACTCTCGCTTCTGCTCTGAAGACACTGTGAGCATGTGGACAGCTTGGCATTGCGTGCCTCCGTGCACCGCCGCATTCCTCCTCCTGCTGCCCAGCCGCGGCTCTAAGAGGGTGGACCGCCCCCTATTAGTACACCACTTAATGGGCTCCCTGCCTCCCTCTCTGCCCGGCAGCACGGACGGCAACCGGGCCGCACTGCTAGCTGTCCCTGGCCCCCGGTTGGACAACCAAGGTCTAAACGTGTAAAACTTTGCTTTATTGTAACTTCTCTGAGTAATATATACATTGTGTCTTGGGTTAGGGTTCCAAATTATTTATGGGGAAAGTGTAATCAGGAAAAGGGATGCACCTCCTGGCTATCTTTTTTTTTTTTCATATGGACATGGTATATACAGAGCCACTTCACATACAGATACAACAGTGCAGCACTGAGTTAACGTGAGCTCATGTGCCCTCTAGTGGTGTGTCAGGAGGATGCAGCTTACACAAGTTACAAGAAATGGTTAGTTGTCAAAGGGTTCTAATAACTTGTGTCATGAGACAATGGGTTGTTTGTTTTTTGGCTACATTTCTTTTTTATTTTTCAACATAAAACATATCAGATAAGCATTGGCGAGACTTGCAGGTCTCCAGGTAGAGACCATG